GTTTTTGTTATTGCTATGGTTTAATTACCCAAGTTTGAGTGGGTTCCACTAGCAATAAAGTACAATTTAACACGTGTCTTCACATCGTTCTTCTGCTACAACCAACCATATTGGAATAGGACTCAACTCTTATTTCATAATCAAAGGATCAACATTTCAACAGACAGAGTTGCAATTTCTCTACTGAATACCTCATAAGAATCTATTAGAATAAAGCTAACAAAAAAACTTTCACGACAGGGAAATCACAACAGTGTGATATTTGGATAGTTTTAATTTTTTTAATCCGATAATAAAAATATCCATACATCAATAATAAGGAACTTACATGTCGATTTAATGAAACGAATATATTGCATTCTTCCATATTTAATATTGATATTGTTTGAGCAAAATGATGTCGTTCCAACACCGAGCCTTCGCTGCTATATAACTGAGCCAGCGGTGTACGCTATAGTAAGTTATTATCAATAACACAAAAAAATTTCCAAAATTTCTCTCATAATTGGAACTAGTTGACATACCCTCATCATGAACTATATATTTATCCTCATTTTCTTCATATAACTTAAAACTTGATTTTAATTCTATATTCTTTCTATTTTTTATTGTTGCATGTCTTCAAAAAGATTAGGAATATAATTTCTATTTGAAAAGCTCCCCTCATCGTAATCACAAACTATCTTCTAGTTCATAAGCCTGGAAAATAACCTGCGAGTATTCGTGATATTAGCTACCTAACTGGTCCTATTCATATAACTAATAACCTATAAGCTTAAAGAACAGAAACCAACCGACTGTACTTGGAATGCATTGGTAGTACCACGGTGATCGATATCATGGCATAAACTTGCAACAAAGAGAGCAAAACTTTCTAGTTCATTGAGTGCATTATGTGCTGTTTCAGTCCGCAATAACAAATATACAAAATGCGCAACTGCAAATGCATGAGACCAATTGTGATAAGGCACATCACGGTAACCCTTTTGAACCATTAATAAGAAACAAGCCAACGTTTGTCGCTGTAAGCGAAATCGTTGAACAAAACCCAGATCCTGAAAACAAAAGTTTACATTTGGTGTAGCGCATCTCTAAACTTAGATCAATCAATACAATTGTTATAAATCCGAATTATAACAACAATTAGTCTGTATACAATAGGACTTAAATTATTAGGGTGTAGATTGGACCGAGCTTTTTGCATGTTAACTTCTTGCGAATTTCCGATAAAGATTTTAAAAGCATTTCGAACATAGAAAACAAACCTTAAAAATGGACAATGCTGCTTCAACATAGGTATCACCTGATCCTATGGAACGTGGTGGAAAATTAAAATGATCAAATTCTGGAGAAAAGGAAGTCGTTGCTGGTATTTCACCTACTGTTAATCGTAACAAATCTTCTGGTGCAATCTGCAAACAACTCGACTCATGAACTAATTATACTGCTTATTATTTATCACACTGTTGCAAACAGCTCCGAAAATGAAGACTAAAATTAATTTCTTTTATTATTTAATCATTCAGTAATCATTGTTTTACAGTATTATAAATTTCAGCTGCATCAAACTGCAACAATACTACTCTTGGCTACTTTCATCACTCATTTTTTTCCACTCCTTCTTAATTGCTATTTTCCTAAAATGGCTATAAAGGATGCCTTCATAAGACGATCGTATTTTTCACAACTGTGTATGATATGTATAGAGTAAGCAATAGATGATAATAATTCTCACGAAATAATAATGTAAAAGAAGAAAGCCAAAAGTGTATCCCAAACCCGTAAAAGTTTGAAAGGTTTATTTATATCACATAAGCTTGAGCCATTATGGATCATTTTGCGTATTCACCTTCATTGCTATTTGGAGAGAATTTTGAACCCATTTGAACCTATCTTAGTTATACTACTAAAACTATTAATATGAAAAGTTATTATTACTGGAAGCATTGCGATACAATATGTCGGATACATGCGTACATGAACCGCTTCAAGGAAGTCCACACATTTTAGGCATTAATTTTAACCAAACGAATAGTAGACTAAAGTTAACCCAAAGATAGCATCATCAATCAATGGTATGTCTGAGTTATGCTTAATCATATTTCATTTCAAAAAGTGTTACTATAAAGTTTTTAATTTTTGGCACAATATTCTCTTTACTCTCTTCTGAAACAAAAATAGACTTTACCGACAATGTGGAACTCTGTACTAGTAATTCCGCAGCCAGATGTGATCGTCTATGAGCTTCTTGCAGCTTCCGATAAAGCAGACACTGCAAAACAATAAATATAAGATGATAGATGATAACATTTTTCATGAAATAACTCATAATGTAAAAGAACAGAACAAAAGTGTATCTGAGACCCACAAATATTTGAAAGGTTTATTTCTATCACATATGTGTGAGCTACTGTGGATTATCAATAATCATTTTGCTATTTACCTTCATTGCTATTTAGAGAGACAACAGTAAACGGAAGATGACGGATGATAATAGTTTTCATGGAATAACTAATAATGTAAAAGAGGAAAGTCAGAAGTTAGGTTAATATTAATTTTAAAATCAACTGCAATTTCATAAACATGCAGCCTCATACGCCTAAAACCAATAAACAACTAAATGCATATTATAAATTGAATTGATTTAACTGAAATGTAAACACATCCACATTATCCACTCGAGGCACTATCTATTCTACTTATTCTAAACAAATGCTTCTAGTCGTGGAATGAATCTAATCGATAGAATACCCCAAGGGCGCTTGTAATTTTTCTATCCTTTTCGAGTTGTGCTGTGTAATAATAAAACAATTTCACACATGCGTTCCTGATACGATGCATTTTAATATCATAGGTCATTAAGCTTCTCACAGGACGATTTCAAAATATTATTTGGGAATTTGAAATATTATAAAACCTGAAAGAGTAATAAAAAGAGTCGATACATCAAACGTATTTATTCTATAGGAATGCCTGCAGCTTATTTTACCATTATGTTCAATATTCAGGTATTAAGTATATCTCACATTGTCAATAAGTTCAACAGATCTATAATCTCAGTAATCAAAATCGTTCTACTTTAATAAGCAACCCATTTCTTCTCCGAAACGAATTTCCAAAAAGTCCGTAAATAAAATTAAAAAAAAATGGCCCGAATTACAAAACTCAGAGTAGAAATGATGAATTTTATAATTACCAAATATTGTTTAGGAAGGATTGCTTAATATATATGCATACATCAATTACGTTTGATTTGAGCTCATCAAAAACTGCGCTTACAAATCCAGTAAAAATATTATTAGCAAAGAGAGATAAACTTAAGATGATTAAGATGCAGGTAACCAAACTATATATTATATGCTATAAAAAAACAAAAAAAATGTGAAATATGAAGCAATACTTTTTAGGACACTTGCTAAAAAGTGTCAAATGAAAAAGAATTTAAAAAGAAAACTCAAATTAAAAGCTAAATTCAAATTATAAGTTAAATTCTTCATTATCAAATCAACAGATAACAGATATGCTCATCGAGTAAGATTTTATTTCAAAAATTTTTTAATGGTAAAATCTTACATGTGATATACTGATAGCACAATATACTGCAAATGTCATCGCAATTTGTTCATCGTGCTTCGTAAAGGCAGGCTTTCCAATTTTATTACATAGCTCAGCCACGCCAACGAGGTTTCCTGTGATTCTGCGGACGATAGCAAGAAGTCAGAAGTTTTGTTAAAACCACAACGTTTAAATTATCGAATTTGCAAGAATGTAAAAATTTTAATGCATTAAAAAATCTTCATGCATTAAAATTTGGGGAAATTTAAAACAAATCTTTGTTAGTTTGAAACAATATATTTATATAATTTTATATATACTCCTACCAGAACTATCCTTGATCGGGAAGCACAATATATTTCGCGTAACAAAACCGGTTCGTTCATCCACTTTTGGATAGAAAGATGGATGACTGAAATCAGAATTTTTCTCTTTTTTTATATCAAATATTTTCTCAATTTAGGATAATTATTCAGAGGTGAAATACAGCAATTAGTACTGTTGCAAAACCATTACTTTACGAAAAGTGGTATCACCTATCTTTCAGTGAACTTCGTTGTGAATAAAAAGTGGTGAATGATAAAGCTTTTATCTCTTTATGGAAGTAGCCGTCTGAATGTCCAATATGACGTGGTCCCTAATCCTTACTGAATAAAAATTAGTAACCTATAGGCTTCTTTAACATTCATCATTTCTCCAGTGCTTGCAACCTGTCCAACAATGCCTAGAGACACTGGCATTCTGATTTCCGTTAGGTACTCATCATTTGAGCCATCTTTTTCGAATACTTCCGCAACCAATTCAGAGTTCTCACGATCAAGAAGAAACAATGAACATCTGAAAAGGAAAAATAATCATAGGGAAATATAGAGAACAATATCAGATGAACAGCATTTAAATAAGAACCAAAACATTGAACCTACATTTCGGCATGCACAAGAGTTTTGGCTTCTTTCGTTATATTTCTCACCAATAAGTTCATATCTTCTGAATAAAAAAAAGCTTTAAAGAATCGATGAAAAACAGCTAGGTCAAGCATAGATAAATTACTAAGTAATGGATGTAATTAAATCAAGCAGAAACTACTAATAACTAATTCGCAAGCGAATGTGAATTAAATTTTTAAATATATATTTTCAGTTGAAAATCAAATGCTGAATAAGATTTATTTCATGGAAAAATATCAATTTGCCACCAATAATTATGTCATATTATATTTTCCATTCTCGTTATACACTCTTACAATAGTGAAGTTTCATGGCATAATGATTCCTCAAAAACTGAATTCGAATGTAATGAATATCGGGATCAAAAGATGAAAAAAGATGCTTACGTAAGCTAGAGAATACATTCTGCGTCATGGTAAGAAACACTTCGGATTGTTGTGCTAAACGTTTCTGCTCTTCAATGTTGGCAACAATAGAAAGTAATGCGGCAATTAAATGTAAATGAGGCGTAAGAAAACTGCGTTCCGATTCCACTGTACTAAAATTTTTCTTTCGGAATTAATAACTATAATAAAAATCATATTTTTTTAGTATGAAGAGACTTATCTCCCCCATTACTTTTTTCTCTCTTTCCTCTGTTTAATCCAAAAATTTTTTCAACAACAGAAAAAAAATTCTCAACTCATAGTTTGAAAACTATTCAAATATAGATGAAGAATATTTTTTTGCTGCACAAAACTATTAATGCACGGCAGAAAAATATTGCTTCATTAGTCTGTTGATTCCTAAACTATCAATACATTTATTTATTGAACTAACATAAAACTACTGTCAATCTTCGAAAAAAAAATTAATGAAGACAGAAAAAAGCTAATCGAACTGATCAAAAAATAAAATGGATGTATTTAAAATTTACACTGTTAAAAAAAAAGTCGGAATCGACAAATAAAGATGTGCTGTGACATTCTTATAAAAATAACTAAAGTATATTCATACAAAATATCATTTTACGAAAAAAAAGTAAAAACGTACCACTGATTTTGATGTATTAAAAGTAGGCCAGCAATAAAATTGCTTCGTGCTTGTAACAAGAAAATGGTACCATTGAGGGAATTCTTTAGCAAATTTTCTCCAATGCTACTCTTCTGTAGTATAGCACATATCCTTTCTCGAAATTCCTGCAATTTCGAAAATAAGTTAATATAGATAATATAGAGTTCTCGCGAACTGACGTTAATTCATTCACTGTAATACCAATAAAAAGCAAAACTGTTAACAGGCTGTTTATATCTGAAGTAAGATAACTGCTTCAATAAGTTATTGTCACACAAAGCAAGCAAATCACCTATCATGGGCAACTCATAACAACTGCTTCAATAAGTTAAGCATATAAAAAGTTATGCTTTTCATTTATCGATAAAGTGCTTTATCTCACGGAAAAAAAACTTTAAAATAAAAGATACCTAAAAATATTGAACTCTGATATTAACTGATCACAATAATTATTGTGATTTTCAGGAAAAAAAGGTAGATATCCTTCCAATAAGAAGAGAAAGGTTTAAGTGATAGTTGGAAAAGAAGTGATTAAGAAAGTTAAGTCAAATGTGACATTCTTAAAAGTGTGCCAAAGACAGAATGAGAATTTAAAACGATAGAAGAGAAGCAACACTGGAAATTTTTCCATTTATAATTCTATTAAATGCAACTTAAAAAGTTCAAAATTTTACGTGCCTTGTCTGGTTTTGCGGTTCGGCATTGCAAAAAATATAGACATAGCACACAAAATCATTTTTTAGAAAAAATTTCATTTACGGTAATATTTTTAACGAACAAGATAGTTTTTAAGAGATTGATTGAGTTCAACGAATGAAAGCAAAATTCAATCGGTAAGGATCATTCCGAAAGTTAATATTGTGTGACATAGGAATGGCAAGGAAATAAATATATAAGATGTAAAACGTATCGAAAAGATCAGGGATCAGCACAGGATCGAATCAACTCAAGCTCCATATATGTACAATAACTCTCCAATTTTCCTAGAAACTCACTAACACCATAAAATGAATGACTACTTATTATTAGTGATTTCGAAAATTTGGATAAACTTTCATTTTTTCGAAGGAAGCAATTACTCGACAACTTTCCTTTGTCCACCCATTTTTCATTGCCAAATCTCGAAAAAAAATTTTTTTTCTTATCTTGTTCCATAGAGGGAAAAATCACATGAAATGGAATGCACAGCTGCACGTTAATTATGTATGACTACATTTTTACACTTGCGAAAGAGGGATGGTCACTATAGGGAATCGAACCTCTTCTATGCTCCATAGAAGAAAAAGCAAGAAATTTTCCAGATATGATAAAAATGGCCTTATTTTTAATTTCGGATTGCTATTGATTAACGTACATACAATAATAAGTAATTTATTTATCAACTTCGGATATGACAAACCTCCATCAGAAAGAAGTATAAATATGTAGAAAGATGAAAAGGCAGTTAATTTGAGACTGTTATATGATTATGAAGGAACTTCCCATAAGCATTTAACTATCCTATAACAGCTACCATTATGCAAGTGGAATGGTTGAAGATCTCAGTAAAGAGATAATGAATATATACAGAAGAGATGAAGCATTAGAAAATGTGAGATAAGGAATAGTACAGTCAATCCACCATTTTTCCCCTCTCATATAAAATGATTATTTGTCCCCTGACAAATGTAAACTGGTAACAATCAGGACGAATTACCCAATAGTTTAAATTTCCATATTTATTCACTTTGAAATATTTTAGCTTTCGAGAAAATAGCTCTGGCCCTATTCACCACTGAATACCTCATTGAATTAATGGAGTCCTTTTTGATTTACTCGTTAAAATAAACATCTGAAGAAAATTCATAAACAAACAACAAATCAAAGAAAATGAACTAACCTTACTGAGCATATCAATATCAACATAAGTATTTGACGCATGACGTGTATATGATGGAAGTGACAAGTCTTTACTGTTCAACAATAGCGCATTTCCATTAAACACAGACCATAACACATCAGCATTACCCTTTAAATGAAAATCTGACAAATTTTAAATTTTGATTTGCTTTAATAACGAATATTAATTACTAAGTTAAATAACCAATCACTATGCTAATCATTCTTTTTAATATCTAGTTTTATAGTTATTCCTAAACAACATTGAGAGAAGCATCATTCCTTAATGATACACACAGCTAACAAATTATCTAATGGTAATGCAAGATCGAAAGAAAAAGGTGATAAATTAGTCATGTGATTAGTCATATGATTAGCCATATGAATTAAGTCATATGATCCTCCTCCACTTAAAACAAAAAATAACCAAGATAAAAGAATAAAAAAGTGTTACAAAATTTCATCTTATACAATTTTCCATCCGAACAACCAAAATTTGTCCCATTTTTATCCAATATTAGATAAAAATTTGAACACGCTTTTAATCGAAACGTGAAAAAATCAGACAGAACACATACACACACAGACAAACACTCATCCACTCACACTCACTCACTCACTCACTCACTCACTCACACACACACACACACACACACACACACACAC